CCATATATAAACTGGGTTAACTTAGAATTAGGGTCATCGATATCGTCGTTCGAATGCAAACTGTTAGAAACCTCGATTAGATTAGCATTAGCACATTAGAGATCCCACAAGATACGACTTAAGAAACTCTTCTTCTCTTTTAGATTTAGTTTTCACACACGGTGATGACGTTGGTCAAATGGCTTTTCTCCCACCACTTGGGAAAATTGACCATGCAGTCATCTTATTCAAATTCACGGCTGAAACTGCCTGTCAAACAGCTGCCCCGGCCCATCCTAACATATGGAAGGCAGAGATGCAGGCAATTAACTCCGCAGCATCGGCTGAAAATTGGAAAATCGACTCAAAGGCATCAGTACAAGAGGCATGGACTCTATTCAGGCAGTTATACAATCGGGTAACTCGACCATATGTACCCTGGACTGTCCCAAAGTAAAAGAAGCACGGACATCCCTGGATAGGCGGGATATTCGACGTTTACCAAGACAAAAGAAGAAAAGCTGGGATGTTGCCATCCGCCTTGGCACAGCAGGTACGATGGAAAGCTACAGATCGGTAAGAAACAAGTGTATAGCAAAAATTCGGGAAGCTCAAATAAAATATCAAATGCAGTTGGCACAATCTGCAATCAAGCAACCCAAGAGAATATTCTCGTACACAAACTACAGAACAGGGATGCATCATTGGATTTCCAACTGATTAAAGAAGGGAGTGAATCTGAAATGATAGAGGAAAATCAGGAAAAAGCAGAGGCTATGGCTGACTATTTTGGAGCAGTTTTCACTCGTGAACCTCCTCTAGACAAAGAACCAGACCCAAATACAGAGTCAACAAACCATCTACTCACCGTGGACTTCGGTCAAGACGATGTGTTCAAGGCTCTTAGCACCTTAAACATGGAAACGTCAACAGGACCAGATGAACTACACCCCAAAATCTTGAGACATATTGCACAATATGTCGCGGACCCACTGTCTGTGATATTCATTATGTCACTTGACCAAGATGTGTTACATATGGACTGGAAGGACGCAATCGTCACTCTCATACATAAAACAGGACCAAGACAACTTCCACCGAACTACAGACCTGTAAGCCTCACCAGTGTTGTAGTTAAAATATTGGAAAGAATAGTCAAACGGACCATAATGTCATTTATGGAAACCAATGACTTGCTAAACATAGAACAACATGGTTTTATAAAGGGTCTATCTTGTACAACAGGCCTCCTTATAGCAAGGTAGTTTTGAATAAAGGTGCTAGACAACGGAAACTCAGGGAATGTTGTCTACATAGACTTCAGTAAGGCTTTTGACAAGGTGCCAACTAATAGACTGCTGTTGAAAATGTAAAACCTTGGTATTGCCAAACGCCAATTAAAATGGATTAAAGATTTCCTAGTAGGTCATAGACAGAAAGTAAGAATAAATTCCAAGTGCTCCATCTGGAGACAAGTACTTAATGGAGTACCTCAAGGTCCTAGGTCCTTTACTTTTTATAATGTATGTTAATGATCCTCCAAGTATAGTACAGTCTCCAATGTTATTATACGCTGACGATGCAAAGATCTGGCGAGTAATAACTGGAGGCACAGACGCTCTTCCGGCAGACTTGAATAGTATGGTTAACTGGTCTTAAGAGTGGCTGATGCCTAACAACTCGGCAATGTGTTTCTACATGCACTCTGGGGATTCAAACGTTACTAGGTACAGTATAGGAGAAGTGCCACTACCCGTGGTCTGGTCTCATAAGGATCTAGGGGTGACGGCGAGTCACGATCTTAGGATGATGGCCCATTTCCGGGAGGTCGCAGCTAAAGGGGTTTCGAACCCTCTGGCTTTAAAACGGACATTCACTAAGTTAGATACTACCATGTTCACCACAGTATACACATCCTTAATGAGAATTAAGCTTAAGAACTACGTTCAGGCTGCAAGCCTCTGTTTAAAAGGTGACTCGGATATCCTAGAAGAAGTACAGAAGGCAGCTATCCGTGCGGTTTCAGAACTCCGGGGTTCACCATACAAAGAGCAGCTTAAAAAGCTGTACCTCTTTACTCCACCCTATCGCAGATTAAGGGAGATCTGATTTTGATGTACAGGATACTGAGAAATGATTTTGGACCTAACTTATTCTCTCATTTTCTTCCCAATAGATTGAGACACCTCAGAGGACATAGCTAGCGAGTAGAAAAGCCAAGAACGAACAAAATACCCGTGGCATACAAGTTTTCACACCGAGTCATCAATACTTCCCAAGCTGCCAACTTTGGGGAAAGTTTGGTCCATTTTTGGGAAACCGCTATAGCAAATTTTAGGGAAATTTTATGGAAATGAGACGCAAACTCCAAAATTGGCAGCTTGGGTTGGAACCTGCTGTTCGAAGCAGTGGTGTCTGCACGTTCAGTTGACTCTTTCAAGAGAGGACTGGACGCTCACAGATGCATATTAGGAAAGGAATAACAAAGACCGTAGGCCTTCTGTCCTTATTACACAAATCTGAAATCTGAACGCCGAACTTGCGGGGTTTTCAAGCTATACGTTACATATAGGCAAGATGAGATGTCTCCTGTTATGTTGCATTTTAATCTGTACCACTCCCTCCTGTCTTCCACGTTATTACTGGGTCAAGTTCACTATTTGCTCATATTATGAAGCTTAGTAGTGGACAAGCAAAATTAATTATGGAAGTTTATAAACGTTGACTGAAGTACTCATAAATGCACCCGAGCTCCCAAGTTTGGGGAAATTATGGGGTATTTCGGGGAAACTCCCGAAGTCAAATGACTTTCACCAATGTTTGGGGGAGATTTCGGGGAAATCCCTAAGGGTAACTGACCTTGAACAAGGTCAAAGGGGAATTTCGTGGAAATATTGGGGAATTCTCCTAGGTGTGGGGATATTTTGTGGGCTTTGTGCCATTTCTCCAAAGTTGACTATAGCGGCTTTCCTGAAATTTCGTTAAAATGGGCCAAATTCCCCCCAAAATTAGGAGTTCGGACGTTTATAAACATATTAATATCTTGTACTGCACTTTAATTGATGGACGAAGCCATCAGATTTACAATAACAAGTCTTAGATTTTGGCGCAAATTCATTCACACATTTGACTGAGTAGAGTTTTGGCATTATAGCTGATGCCAGTTCGTGATGAAAACATAAGTAATTCCTAACCTAAACGATCAACTGTAAATCATAACCCTTTTTTCTTCAAACTGCTTTATAACCCTCATTTAGCCCTAGTTAGTAGGTGGACACTTTCAAGGTTAGTTTAGTATCGCTGAAAGGTCGTCCATAAATAATAGATGCAAGACTGCAACGTGAAATCAAGAAGCAAATGTAAAGGGGTCAGATTATTTACATTAGCTCATCACAAAGATGTTGATTACTTAATTAATAGTATGTAAAATTTAGGAAATATGAGCAGTTATCGTACAATAATTTTATACCATTGTGAAGGCTACTTGTTGATATTTGGTACTAAGAAGTGATCTAATAGAAAAAGAAATTATATGTAGTGGGTTATTGGCTATCAAAAATATTAATTCTTTCACATGTTCAGCATTCCATGGCTTCTCTAAAGAGTCATTGTATTTGCTTTATATTGAATATATTTACTTGATAAGTTTTACCTTATTACCTACTGTTTAAGTAAAATGAAGTTGACAACTTTGAATCGAGCATTTATCTTGCAACCCAAATTAAATAACATAATTGCGTCATATCAAGTCTAGCTTAGGATTAAAAAACATGGTTTGTTGTTACCTGTGGCTGGTCAAATTCTTTTGCTAGTTATTAGCTTGTAGTTATGATTATACATGGAAAGCAGTGTACATAAAATACAAATTTGATGCACCCACTTATTTCTATTGGTTTCAATATATCCCACAAATTCCCAGGCGTATTTTCTCCAGAATAGTTAATAAGCATGGGTTTGCAATCAGTAGGTTTAACATGTAAGAAAATAAAACCTATGGGTAATTAGTGGTAATCATTCAGTCTTTCTAATATATTTTTTTGAGAAATCACTCGATTTTTAAAGCAAAAATGTTCCCCGTAATACTATGTCCCTTCAAGTCCACCATGTTTTTATATTATTACACTTATTATAAATCATGGTAATATGACTTATCATGTTCAAGTTTATGTGCATTAACTGAGCCATATAGTTGTGGGTATCGATACTATGCAGCTATCGAATCGAACTTGGAATGTCGGAACTTGAACCTACAATCCATCAGTCAAATTAAAAAGGACTTTAGTCACCAACATACTACTCCACTCCAATATTCACATTAACAGTTTAATAGGGAACACGTAGGTAAACAAATGATGAACCGTCAATCAATGTGATGTACCAGTCATGATTTTAGCTCGCACAAACTGTTTTGCGAAATGTGTTCCGTAAAGTTGTATAATAAATTTAGCAATCTAGTTACATCTAATGTAGTAAAAACGTGTACTACATCTAGTTCTACACTTCACATCACAGAAATTGAAAAACTAAAATCTAAATGATAAAGGAGTGCAATTGTCCCCAATAGTGATGTAAAATTGCTATATAACACACGTGTCCATAAAATTAAGACCAACGTGGTATGTTGGGCTAATTAAAAATTGATCCAACGATAGGTGCAAGCGACTGGTCAAGAAATAGCTTGCATTTCTAGGGAATGAGACGTACGCCGTTGGTGGCTTAATTTAATCTAATCTTATATATATATATAGTGTGAGTACGTTCCAGATTCCGTTTAGTCTATAAACTTCCTTCTCACTCTCGCTGCCAGTTGGACTTGTGCACAGGGAGATTTCGTATCTATGTCGAAATCAGACAACAAATCGTAAATAAAAAGCTAATTATTGTTTTTATGTATATTCTTTAAAGTCTGATTTTATTTTCCAAGTTAGTTCACCTAAGTCTCACTTTTTTGCCGTATTTGAAAATGATTCTTATTTCTTGCTAGGGCATATTGGTTTCTCGTGGCATATTTATTCAAGATAATGCCTAGATTTGCCCAGCTGGTGATAGGGCCAGCTGGTTGTGGGAAATCAACTTATTGTAGTACAATGCAAGCTCATTGTGAAACATTGAGGAGGAAAGTTGATGTGGTCAATTTGGACCCTGCAGCGGAGTTTTTTGAATATACTCCACTAGCGGATATACGAGACCTTATTCATGTAAGTTATTTAATCTGAATTTTTCTAGGATAATTTTAGTTAGATGATGTAATGGAAGACGAGGCTATACGTTTAGGTCCAAACGGTGGACTTATTTTCTGCTTGGAATATCTTCAACAAAATTTGAACTGGTTGGATACTGCACTTGGTGATATAGATGGAGACTATTTATTATTTGATTGTCCTGGTCAAATTGAATTATACTCACACCTACCGATTATGCCACGAATAATTGAATATATGCAAAGAAAATGGGATTTCCGTTTTGTTACAATATTTATTTTGGATGCTAGATTTCTCGTAGATTCATCACATTTTCTAGCTGGTGTACTGTCAGCTCTCTCTGCTATGGTATCCTTATCAACTGCTCATATAAACGTAATGTCTAAACTTGATTTGTTATCTGAACAAAAACAAAAATATGTCATGGCTCGTTATCTAAATCCTGATATGGATTACTTTTTTGATCTGGATCAAGTATTTGATGAAGAAGACGGTGGGGAACATCACGAAAAGGAAGCCCCATTTAATAAACTTACTCATGCACTAGCTGATTTGATTGAGCGTTACAGTGTAGTTCATTTTGTCCCATTAAACAGGGATAAAGAAGATACTATAACAGACTTACTAGTTCAAATTGATCAATGTTTACAGTATGATGAAGAAGTTGATCCTTCAAATCGAGCGTTTGACGATGCTGAACAAGAGTTAGTTAGATTTCAAGGTGAAAATGATGGTGACGAGGATGCTTCACGGAACTCTGGATAAACAGACTATTATCAAAAACTTTGTATATAATCATAAACAATAAATCGTAATTTTTGTAACACTCCGTTTTTTTCGTAAACCAAAATAATAGTTTTACGTCCTCATACAGATTCTTTTTAGATTATTGAAATAAATTATGAAGTATTCCTAATCCTGACTGGTTCCCTTTCATTATGGTTACTTGAAATGTATGTTCATCCTTGTAGTAATTATGCATCGATCTAATTACGATTTAGATTATGCAAATCAGTTAACTCAGGTTCTCATACACATTTGTTTTTGGAAACTCTTACCCATGGATTAACTGGTTCAATGTTTTGGCTATGTTGTTTGATTAGTATAAATGGTAAACTAGATTTATATACCACAGGTTACCGAAAAAATATAATTATGACTCTTGAGTCATGTTTTTGGGCAGCATTCGGTGCAATACTACCGGATATTGATCATTTTATAGCTTCAGGAAGTACAAGCATTGAAGTACGTGTCGTATTGTCACGTTTAAATGACATTTTTGGTTTCATGTGGCTGCTCATTACGTTTTGCTTTTCTGTTATCGAGCCTTGCTAACGGTTATTTATAAGGTACTTAAGTAAATATGGTGCGTATTACTAGGCTTTTTTTTAAAAAACTTATATATCTTTACTTTGAAATGCATCGATCTACATAGTTAACAGGAATAAGGTATCGCCCTGGTATGGCCGAGAGCGGGGTGGGTTCGCCCTCCCTCTCGAAATACTCTCACACGGCCGCGCGTATACAGCCTCTGCCAGGGAAGTCCTACTCACTGCCTTCTCGTGGCGGGGGTGTTGTTTACGAAAATGAGAGGACGAAAAGCGAATGTCCGGCGCTTTAACCGGATTCCAAGTCTATGGTGCACATGGGTACCAGTATCCTGCGGGAACAAATGGCGTATGAACCAATTTTCGGTCACCGGCTACCATGGGACTGCATCTCCCTACGATGCTCCACTGCCTTGTGGGTTAGACCTTTAGGTCAAAGGCTCGGTGTGGCCCCCTAAGATAACCACCTGCTTCGGTCTGGGCACCCGGGGAGTAACGCAGCCCACACGCAATTAATGAACTGAAATTGTGTGGCGCATATATATTTGGCGCACTCCTGTACCAATATATATGTGTTCAAATAAAAACACAAGTGAAGGTCATACTATTATGAATAGAAATGTAAATACAATGTTTTATTAGAATACATGAGTTGTGACTAGTAGTAAAATCTAAGATGTACGTTCCGTTTTACGTGAGACTCGTCATCTGGATAAACCACCATCATAATGTTGATTTTCACACTGGGACTCAGACCCAGCACCTCTCGTTTCAAACGTCAACTGGTTACCCACTTAGCTACTAAGACAAGACAACCACTTACTTGTTCAATAGAGAGTTGACTTAGTAATTACGGCTATTAAGTCATAGGTTACATCATATCATCAAGTGTCATCTTTCTGCCCATTCATAGAACAACATGGCCATTCTTTTTTCACTTGTACGGTGATTCAATCACTGGTCTCATGTTCGAACTATGCTAGACATAATTCGATTGAGGTACTCAGATACTATCACTAGCCTCCTCTCCCTATCATTAGATTTATGACTCAATGACCAATAGTTAAATATGTATTTGATTAACAAATTTGAATTTCATTTCTTTGACACTGATTGTCATAGACATATTCTATCGCTACCTTCTTGCACAACATATTAAAAAACGGCAGAATCATTGAGTAACAGACATAAAATGTTTGATTATATCAACCACTATTCTTATATTTCTATAATCAAACTAAAATTATAACAGTTTCTCTTTTAATACTTTCTATATATACTTCTTTTCAGCTTGCACGTCAACTTCCTGGTAGACCATTTTTACATTGGGCTGGTTTATATCTACTTATTTATACTCTTTTAATTATTGGTTTATTTTTCATATCTTATCCTATATGTTTAAAATTCAATAGATTTTTCACTATATTTTGGTGTTTCATATTTATTCCATTTATAAGTCATATTATACGTGATGCAAATAAACGTGGTTTATGGTTATGGCCTCCACCAGACTTTTATACATTAATGAATTTATCAAATTTTACATATAATATATTATATCCTAGTAACCCGGGAATGATTCATTTAATTAGAACACTTTTATTGTATTTAGTTGTTTTAATGTTTATCATTTTGGTATTCCGTCAATATGCCTATTCTTTTCATTGGGATATATCCAGTTTTGCACCAATAACATCTTATTTTATTGATAAAAGTAATGAATTTTATATAGACCATACATTTGTTGTATGAAGCACATAATCTTTTGAATACAATAAAACTGTCTAAATAGTAAATTATTAATAAGTGTGATATTTTGTATATATCTATATTCTATTATCTAATTAATATAATGAAATATACTATCTTAGTGATATCTTAGTTTCTTGATTTCATTTTAATGATGATGATTTAACCCTATAGATAATTGTATGAGGTGTTGTTTTCTGTTAATGTTTGTTTAGTTAGTTATTTTCATTGCTCAGTCTATATCTTTAGATTCTAAAGAGCCCATACTTTTCTAGATTTATGAACCTTCATTGTTTGGTGACATCATTTAGCGACCGTTATCTAATGATCAAAGGATACATCGCAGGTATTACTTAAAATAACAGTGTAGATGACACTTTATGTGTGTGTGTGCGAATAAAGTAGTACAAATTCAATTAGAACAATAGTATTTTAATAATGATTTGATCACAAACGTACATCAGCTAGAGAACAATTGATTTCAAGAATCTTTGGCCACTTCGTGTCTTCCTACTGTAGGAGACTCTTCAACAATGCGCAAAAATCTAACCCAAGACCATTAATTATTGTGTATACTGCAGTATTACTCAATTAGTGAGTCGGAACCTAGTTATCACCACCCTAAAATTCAATCGATTTTGAAAGACAGCGTCACGATTGTTCATTATACTCTGTATGTATATAGTTCTTTTCCAAGCCAATTGATTCAACAGATCATGGCTTCTCAAAGGAACTACTGTCGATCCACTTCAGTGTAATTAGTCATAAATAAGAACATAGTCATTCTTTACATCTTGGTAAGATTATTTGTCATCTATTGATAGTTGGTTTGGTGATGTAAGTACAGAATAAAGTATCGTTAAATAAAAATCTTTCTAAGCCCTAATACATCTATGTCTTATTCAGATCTCCTCGAAATAACCGAATTATTTTTAATTCAGTGTCTATAAGGTCGAAACTATTTACACATGGATATTTGGTGATGTTAGCACTTTCAAAAGATAAAACAAACGAAGCTTTTACGTTTTGAAAATCTCTAAAGAATTATAAGTCACTGACGCTCTGAAATTTCACATAGTCTTAGAGTCTCATGTGACATTCAAATTAATTGTTGCTATAGTGTATGATAAATATATTTCATTCATTGTCACAACAATCGATTGAAATGTAGTTGTTCAGCTGCAATAAATTAAGGAAATATTCGAATTTGTTTCTACTAAAACGATTTAATTCACTTAATTCAACTTATGTTTGTGACTCCATATACAAATGAATAGTCCAAATATGGAACCAGATCTTATCGAGTTGTTGGTACAAAAGACTAAGATAAATGTCATTTCCATCATATAAATCAAATCAAAGGGATTTTCAGACTGATAATAAATACTAGTATAGGGGTTGTGGAGATTATTAAGTTTTTGATTGAGATCATGAACCGACTGGTGTTAGACCACCTTTGGAAACCTGGAAGCACTGGACGGCCGTTTCGTCCTATTGTGGGACTCCTCAGCAGTGCGCACCCACGACCCCGCTCGCGGGACTCGGACCCAGGGCCTTCTGTAATATTAATGATAATAAATAACCAAAAATTCATTAAAGTTGATTTATCATCTATTAAAAGTTGTGAAATAGAAATGGTGGTTATTATCCGAAATTATTGATTCTATGTGTATTCTTTCCACTCAAAAATGTATCACTGTCAGACAAATTAGTTACTGGACAGGATACTTTATATAGAATTTACATTTGGCTTAGTTTGCTAACAACTAATGACTTTCCACTATGTAGCGTGAAAATTTAGCAAGAGCGACAAAAGTTCATCTAACTGAATATAAGTTTGGACGATCTCCATGTATATTCAACATGGACAAAGCATTTGTGCCTTTTTTTAAAAAAACATCTTATTCCTTGAAAGAGTCAAATGTTAGTAGCAATTGTAAGTAGTGTTAAATATCATTCAGATTTCAAAAAGTACAAATAACCATCATCACTCGATGACAATCAGAAATGGCTTGAATGACGAATGCATATCATTGACTAAGAGATTGATTCATTTTTATGGGGTCGAAATATGTTTATATAAATAAGTATTTATGCATGTTGTTCAACGCCCCAAAAGAACTTCTCTTTCATTGTTGTCTTCTCTCGTAAGTAGTCAATTTTTGGGGATTAGCGCACAGCAATTTGTGTATCAGTCTTAGATCTCGGACACCCCTGTCATAACGTAAGTGTTGTACTTTGCTCAGGTACATGACTTACACCTGTTGTTATAAATTCAATTTTGATAATGAAATTGGTCGTTTATGGCTTATTTATCGAAATCAAATTATAAGAAATCATATAGTTTACTTGACGAACTGATCTTAGTTACAGAACTAACGAAAATCCGGAAGCACTGAACAGCTGTTTCCTCTTATTATAAAACTCCTCAGCAATCCGCATTTACAAACCCATCAGGGACTCTCATACCAAACACCTAACCGTTAGATCTTATTTTATTTATTTATTTGATCACATAAATATTGGTACAAAGGGGTACCGAATACATATGCGCTGCCCAAGTCACTTAATTTTTGCTCGGGCTGTGATAATGCCCGGGTGCCTAGACCAGATCAGGTGGTTTTCTTAGGAGGCCACACCCGGAGCCTTCGACCTAAAGGTATAATCCACAAGGTAGTGGAGCAACGTTAGGAGATGCAGTCCTATGGTAGCCAGTGACCGACGATAGGTTCGTACGCCATTTGTTTCCTCAGGATCCTGGAGCTCATGTTCACCATTGGTTTGGAATCATGGTTTTCCAACTCCACTAGGTGGGCTCTCCATGTCCACCAACCCGGTTAAAACGACGCACATTCGTTTTTCGTCTTCTCAATTTCGTCAACGACAGTAATGGCATGAGAATGCAGTGAGTAGGACTTCCCTGGCAGAGTCTATATACGCGTGGCCATGTGAGAGCATTTCGAAAGGGCGAACTGACTTTCTCCACTCTCGGCTGTACCAGGGCATTTGGGAGCACCCTTAGATCACTGAGTCAACACTCATTGGTTTACGTCTATGACTTCAGTCAGTTCGCGACATTGCGTAACCATTTTCCACTTGCTAATAATGTGTAACTCCCAAATACCCGTTATAGTTACAATCTGCCAGTCATGGCTTCCCACTAGAACCGTGGGAAATGCATTTCGTTGCGAGACCTGAAGGTTGTAGGTTCGTCCGCGAGTGGTTTGTGGTTATGCACTGCCGAGGAGTTTCAAACTAGGATGTAGGAACTATCAATTGTTCCTTGGTTCCCAATGATTCTGTAACTAAGGTCAACGCGTAATGTAAACTATAAAATTCAACAATCTTCACAAGCCATCTATCATTTATAATCGAACACTAATCTATTAGGTTTGTATTTGTTTATTTAGCACTCACTCTATTGGTTGAATTCAAGGAGTTTGCCATATTGCTTAACGAATCAAGCATTATCTTGTTTAATCATTAGTATTCGTTCAAATGATGGGAGCTCTCAAGTTAGTTTATTGTAAATTAGTTTTATGTATGTGTTAATGATCTCTACCGGGAATGTTTTTATCATTTTATCTAGTGATTAAACGAAAGTTTTTATTTATAACTCAATAGTATCATTGAATAGTATCAAACAAAATCGTATTTTTTTTGTATACACTACATAAAAACGATTTGAATACATTGAAGATACTTGTAATTAAAAAGTTGGTACAGATCCTGTGAGATGAATATTGGTTCAATATTGTTTGAGCTATTTAGTTATTTTTGACAGTTTTGATATCAATTTATGACAAGATATGCTCGTTACATTCAATTATCGAGAATGGAATGTACTTCAGAACCATATCCTAAATGTTGATAGAACTCAGGATCCTTTGGATATTGCAGCAGGCACAATTCCATTCAGTTACTGAGTTCATTGGACATTAATGTGTTGTATAAGGGGACTTATACTGTACACCATATTAACATTTTAATTACTCACATAAAATCATTCATTTTAATCCCAGAATTGAAGTATACATTATTAATCAAAACGCATTTCCCATAAATACCATTGTCATGCATTTACTAGGAATTATCACAGAAAATAAGATGTAGATATGTTTCTAATGTATTCAGTTACCTTTATCGAATCTATCTATATATATATCCTTTTTTTGAATAGAGATGGATTGCACGTCAACGTTCAGATCCTTACGTAAAACGTGCTCATCTTGAAAGTTATAGATGTCGTAGCGCATTCAAATTATTACAATTAAATGATAAAATTTCCGGTGGAATTTTTAAACCTGGTGATATTGTTGTTGATTGTGGTGCTGCACCAGGATCATGGTGTCAAGTAGCTTCATCTTTAACCAATTGTAATAATAATTTCAAAGCTTCAAATAATCAAAATAAAGGTTTAGTAATTGGTCTTGATTTGTTAAACTTCGCACCATTACCTGGTGTTATTACATATTGTGGTGTTGATTTAAATAATTGGTCTGAATGTATAAATTTAATTAATCAATCAATTTCCAATCATTTTAACAATAATGATAATGGCCGTAAACCGTTACAATCCAAGAGACAGAAATCACTGCCCGGTGTTGATATTGTCCTCAGTGACATAGCTCCAAATGTGTCAGGAATGCGTGAAATCGATATACCAGCTATGATGACATTAGCGTATAATATTTTACGAGTAAGTTTATCAGAATGTAATTTATTATCGTTGTTATGTAATAATTTATTTATTTTATTTAACATATAAAATCTAGTACATCCAGAAACCAAGAATAGAATATGCCATATAAATTAAAAACAGATAACATCGTGAAGAAATAAGGGTTCGGTCTAAAAATGAAGAATAGCATCGGCAATTAATGATGTGCGCTAGCCCGTGGGGTGACATTTATAGAACATGTCAACCCCATCGGTGCCAGTATGTCAAGATGGCAACACTAATTGAATGATAATCAAAGTGCTCGAACATACATACACAAGCCTCAGTATCAGTAATATAGTTTCGTCACCAATGCTACTGAGAAAACGGTCATTGAATGTAAAGTCACAGAACAAACTCAATATCAAGGGACTAGATTTCACAATCATAAGATAAAAATCTCTCTCACCAACGCGTTGTAAACTCAACATTTTATAACCAGACTAACATCAAGATGGTACCAATGATTAAGATGGGTATTTTTGGCTTTCATTTATACATAAAGGAATTTCGCATATCACGTCACTGTCGGCGTTCACACAACTAGTATGAACCTAAGGTTATGTGTGTATAACAATTTAGAATAGGGAAGTTGAGTTATTTTTAGTCCATAACTGACATTGAGTTTGAACTTTGAGACAACCTTAGTGTATTGTTGTTTGATTAATGACCCATTTATTATTGCAATCTGAATAACGGGCTATGCTGATTGTATAACTTGTTGCTTGAAACTGCATTACACCCAGTAGTTTTATTTCTGTGTTATCGAAGTGATGAAACAACTATTCTCACCTGCAATGGTAAACATGGCTAAAATCAGTTTAAATGTCTAATAGTACTGTATAAAATAAGGTGGTAAGCTAGCATATAATGGATCTTCCCTTAGGTTTTGATATAGTATAAATGTTACTCCAGTAGTACAGAAAAAGTTCCACTCCCTACTAGTTGTTTTGCATGTCGTTCATTAACTTAGTGCATCTCAACTAACTGAAATGGTCCGGTTTTTTCTACGAATTTCCATTAATAACTACTTACAGACTGAAGATTATACGTAGTTGTAAACTTTTTATGATTCCCCAGAATGAAAAATACGTCACTTATTTGATAGTTTAGTGTTTACTACTGTCCCTACTGGTTTGGAAATTGATTCGTCTATTGTACTTAAATGTGTCGTAATTTGTAATTGCAGAAAAACTGTCACTAAGATACATATTTAAGATATCCAAAAAAGATGTTGATCTCTTGTTCAGAAACTTTTATTTCTAGGTAGCAATCAGTGTTTCAAAAGAAGGGGCCAGTTTCGTGATTAAATTATTTGAAAGTGCGGAAGCTGAAGAATTTAAACAAACAGTTTCACAGTTTTATACATTAAATTCAAAATGTTCTTCATTTACGCGTTTTATTAAACCGGAAGCTAGTCGAAAAGAGTCATCAGAAATCTATTTAGTTGCTAGAGGTTTTCAACTTCCCCAAAGTAAACAGGACAGTTAAATCCTACTTTCCATCGTATATACATATTTACCATTTTAGCATTGTACATTTAAAATACAGTAAATAATTGCTTTTATCTCATAGAGCTTTATCATTGTATAGATCTAAAAAGAATGTAAATACCAATATTTATCGAATGAAACAAATTCTTTTTATTCTAAAGCTTTGCATTAACCGTAAACAGATTAAAATTCCATTGAGTAAGACCGTTTATAATAAACTAACGTTCGGCAGCCTTTAGTTATTGATGTTAAACTGAATACCAAAAACGGAACCAAGAATTTACATAGGACACAAATACGTGATTCAGTATATTTAAAATAGACACATTCATGTGTCAAAGAAATTAGTGATATAAAGTAGAGAAGATGAGAGTATAATTATCAATAATTACGAATGATTTACCTCCATCTCAATTCTGACAGCTGAACCCAAAAAATTATACTTATCTTTCGGCCTAATTCTAATTGGCTCAATGTGGACACCACTGGCTAAGACTTGGTTTCATTTTCTAAGAAATGACACGATATCGATTGGAGATTTGGCTTTGTTTTTTTAAGGGAAAATTATATATAATTGTGAATGAGTGTATATATCTTTTCGGTTCAGTTGTCGTCAATAAATCCTTCTTTACATTCAGGTAGCTGGTCTAGGCTCTCAAATAGGAGGTTTTGTTATCATCATCAAACGTGAACGACTGCACAATACATAATCTTAATGAAAGTAGTAAACGACTAGAGAATTAATTAACATGGCTTATCACACTTTCCTTCCGTATAAATAGCCTAGGCTAGAATTATTTGATAGCAGTCACCTTTAAAAAACGAAGCAAAATTAGCGTTAGTTGTTAACTCATTGTCTTGAATACTCTACAGATATCCACTACTCATCAAGAGCCTAGCAATAAAACTTTTAAATAACTTACAGTATTTTAGCCATACTTTTTTAGAAACATGTTGATACACATATTAATTTGTTTCCGGTTGCAAATATATTGATTAAGCCTTGAATATAATGAATTCATTTTGTTTTGGCGATAGAAGTTTCTCTACTTCATATTTTAATTAATGCTGCCACATGGTCTAAGTAATTCTACTGAATACTTTGTTCGGTTGTTAGATCAATCAGCATAAATCGTCTAACCGTCTTCACATTTTAACAGCGTATAGAAAATAATATCTTTTGGCCAAATAAGGATTTCTTCTAGCCATTAGCTAGCTATCATCTTTATACTGCTCAATGTGATATAAACTACTTCGAGTAATAGCCAATTCGTAGTGTTTAGTGAAATATATTCTTCATGATCTTTTTAATTCACTTGGCCATATAATGATTAATTTAAAATATTTAAGTTTTGTCTTACAGTTATTCTTGATTGCGAAAGATTGTTATATTCTGATACGAAACTGGATCTATACGAACTTGATAGATTGGACAATTGATATACAACACTTCAACAACAATCCACCAAGCGATGGAAGAAGCTTGATATTAAGGAAGTGTAATTTGTAGTGAAACAACTGTGTATACATAGTAATAAACATGATTTTGGGTCAAAATAGGATGAGAAAACTGAAAGTGGGAATAACCAGTCGACTGACAGTAGGTGTCATTACAAAAATGAGTTCGAATACATGTTATTCCGGTTATCTGCACACGTAATAACAACCACTTTTTAAGAACTAGGAAACCTGGTCTTACTAGTAGTTTAAGGTTGAGAAACAGTAAAAAATACCCACGCTGAGTGATAATTGAAAATGCGAGGAAAATATTGTATATGTTCGACCATTTGCAACATCATATGACAATAGGTATCCAAAGAAATGCATGGATAAGTATGCGGAGACACAGAACGAACCCTTGAAGTGCGATATAACTAATATACAGCTTATTAACTATGGCCTGACTCCGAAAGGGTTAAAATTATTGCATTAATCAAACGCAGAATAAATGATGCACTGAAGATTATTCATTCAGCGAGAAGACTTATTACCTTGTATGAGATGAACTCCGTTAAAAGACAAAAATCGACAAGTTTCCTTTCCTTACTATTTCCTACCACATCAATTTACAAGTGTACGTTGGAGCACATACACTGAGAAAGAATAGTGTATTCCAGTATCTTCAAACACGTTCCAAAGAGCCTGAGACGACAGTCAAAAAATATCCGACAGCAGATGTCATTAGATACTGAAACCAAACTTATATGCTCAGGAAGAAACAGATGTCAGTATATCACTCCCATAATAATTTTGACTAGATCCTCATCAGTTATTATTATTACTATTAATAGTATTATTTGTGTTATTCACAGTATTTATTATTTCGTCTTTCTAAGAGTACTAGTACTTTGAGATACATGTCGCTAGTTTCAAATTATTCTACCTCTAGTTCACAAACCTTGAGTTCGAATTCTACAAAATTGACAGAATTTTATAAATTAGGCCATCACAAATAGCTAAATTACTATTTGGTCAATTATTTACTTTATATAAATGTTCATTCAAACAAGCCACATAATTGTGATTCACTGAACTAGTATAAACATGAAGATTGATAACTAGATATAAATGGTGACACCATGTTTTTTAAAAAATTGAATTTCGTTCATGATCCCCAATTAGTACCGTAAAGAACATTTAGGAATAGCAATAAAAATTCACTATTTCAACATTTGTAAATTCAAGTAGATTGTTGGGTTGTCTCTGATTAGTTTCTTAAGATCCAAAAGTTATTAATTATTGGCTTTATTCAGTATTATAATCTTGGTACAATACAGAATTCTCAGTACAAAGTATCTCAACAAGTTCCCATTCCTTATTTCTTGATCGACCCTTACGATAAAAATTGGGTGGTTGCTAGTTAGATATTAGCAGTTCAGGAATTGACATCTGATTAGTGTATATTTTTTTGTAACTTGTACAGCGAAATGTCGTGAACTTTTCACAAACGCACCTGAATAAGTTATGCGATTAATAGACATAATGATGTGTTAAAACAAACAAGCAAAACGATAATTTGTTGAAATATCCAGATGGCAAGAACAGGTAGCCCAAACATTTAAGAAGGCCGCCTGACAACATAACACTATAAATCTATCACATTTGATTGATCACTCGGTTTTGATCAGTGTCTTGTGTGTCAAGTCCTTCGTAGTGCAGATCAAATACTATCGACCAAGTTGCAATGTGGCCACTAGTCTAAGTGACTCGACATTGCGTGCACTATGTTGAGACTAGATAGTGATTGGAGGTAGTCAACAGGAAACCCTGGACCCGGGTTTCGTACTACTTGGCACTCGTCAGCAAGGTGTACCTGTGATCTTGAGGGAACTGGTGCTCCCTGACAGACTCGATCCTGTGACACCCAGCTTCACAATCAGAGACGTTACCACTGGGCTATCCGGTCCGCGACCGACCTCCTGTAGAATTGAGATGTAATCACAATTGATTGATTATTGGGTGGTGATCAATGCCATGTGTGTCAAGTCCTTCGTAGTACAGATCGACTGCTATCGACCAAGTTCCAGTATGGCTTTTATAAATCTATTTTCTTTTTAAATCATTTACTTTTAACAATATAATAAAAGCCAATTGAGTTTAGTTATTTTCCCCTTAAAAAAGAATTTTGTATACTCAGAAAACAATCAAGTGTAAATCAGTTTTATTTTTAACAAAAAAGTTTTATCAAATAAAGTACAATTCTAATGCAAAATAAATTTTCTAAAATTAAATTAACTTTGTAAAGTCCCCCCCCCTTCAATATACACACGCACACACACACAAAACATGTGGACATTTTTCATTAAAAAAAAAAGGAACTCAATATTACATAATAAATATAACCACATTGTTTATGTTGGCTTTATATTCACAGAATAGTGTTACACTTGAAGGTAATAAAAAAGAAAGAAAGAAAAAAAAAGTAATAATTGAAGTATGAAGTGTGTTATAGATTCCCACCACCTTGATTATGAACTTCTTGCATATGTTTTTCAAAGCTAAAATAGGCATGGAAAACAACAACATATAAAAATAAACAATTAAATATAGAGAATTATCTCTACCTTATATATATATGTAGAGAGAGAGAGAGAGAGAGAGAGAGAGTTATTTTACAGAACAACTATACGAAGAATATTCTTTTTTTTAAATGGGGTTTTGTTCTCTGAACTAGATGGTTTAGTCGTGGAGTTTTCATCGTCTTTCAGAAGAATGATGACAGCTTCATGATTAAACCATCCAGTTCAAAGAACAATACTTCATCAAAATCATCCACCTGAGCTAAAAATCTTCTCCACTATCTCAAAAATATTCTTCTACTTCAATTAGCTCAGATAAACGAGAAAAAACCCAACAACAATTGAATAGTAAACTGTAAGCATTTTTCATAAACTCTTTAACAAAATTAAGGGTTTTACAGGAATGTGGCGTTAGCAGTTTAGTGTTACTTACTATCGAGGGGTTTGTCAGATTCGTTTGAGTAAAAGACCCCAGGTCAGTGAAAGTTAGAAAACTGTCTTAGCTTCTGTAAGCCTCTATCGTTCTACAAGTCTAGGCTAAAGGCTGAAAGTGAATAAATATAATGTTTCGAATTATTTGGATTATAGTACGAAATAAGAGTCCCAGAAATAACGCAATTGAATTAAGAAGTAAGACACAGGCACAAACGAATGTATTGTATTTGGAATTCGAAATCGACCATTCAACAAGTACAAAAGTATCATTAGTTCATTCAAACACCACAATAAACCACCATAAAAACGGTTCATAATTAGTACAGACAGTGACAAAATAACGGAACGCATAAAAATAAAATGGTCAGCGAAATATGGGTAAGATATTCTGCAATAAAATACTATTTACTCATAAGTAATATTTATTTATTTTAACACATAGATATTGGTACAAGGGGGCACCAAAAAGATATGCGCTACGCAAGTCACTTGATTTGTGCGTGGGATGTGATACTGCCCGGGTGCCCAAACCGAAGCAATCGATTTTCTTAGGGGGCCACACCCGGAGCCTTCGACCTGAAGGTATGATCCACAAAGCAGTGGAGCAACATCAAGATATTCAGTCCCATGGTAGCCGGTGACCAACGACTGGTTCATACGCCATTTGTTCATTCAGAATACTGGAGCCCATGTACACCATTGGTTTGGAATCAGGGTTTTCCAACTCTTAGGTGGACTCTCCATGTCCACCAACCCGGTGAAAGCGCCTGACATTCGCTTTTCGTCCTCTCAATTTCGTGAACAACAGTAATGCCACGAGAATGCAGTGAGTAGGACTTCGTTGGCATAGTCTATAAACGCGTGGCCATGTGAGAGTATTTCGAGAGGGAGAGTGGACTTTCTCCACTCTCGGCCGTACCAGGGCATTTGGGGGCCATAAGTAATATAGTTTGAAACAATATAATTACAATCTGACCACGTCCAAATTGATGTGCCGATTTACTTGCATCAAGAACAGTCAAGTGACTTATATTTTTATTTTGCCTCTTTAATGTGTATCTACCGATTTAGCTACTAATTTGTAGAGGGATATATGAGGTGTGCCATTGGGTAATTTAACCAGCGGATGAGTGAACTTCTCCCTGTATTGTTCGTAAACGGTCAAAGACAATACGTAGTTCCGAGTTAACACATTTGGTCAACAATGGTCAAGTGGTAAATAGAAACTAATCATTCAGAGTGATCTGTATATCTTTGCAGTTTCCCAACACGGTTTGAACTCGTCTACTACATGTAGTAGAGATTATAGGTATTTGCGCCTACAATCCTAGTCTGAATTTTTAGAAGAACTTTTTGAAATTTTCACATATATCTTCTGAAAACACTTAATAGACAATTGTGCCAATTATTTAACACTCACTTTTGCTACTTTCTACACTCTCTTCTGCCCATATATTTATAGAAACTATTTGATTACGCAATCTTAGTGACTTTTAATGGATGTTATTTCAATGTTTATTTTCCAAAAGTTAATCTACTTTCGATGTTAAAACACTTATTCAAGCTGTTATTATTCTTATCACTGCTACCAGACCTATCGTCTTAATATCAGTTATTATCCTTTACTGACTATGGTTAGTTATATAATCCTGTTTAATCGTTATTATTCACTCAATAGATACTTATTCGATTGGTTTATAACTGTTCACATATGAATAGATATATAACTGTATAATTAGAGTAGAGCCTAATGAATATCTTATTGATGACGATCTTTCTACAAGGTCTGAAGATCAGGAGTTCGAGAGTACATGCACTATTAATAAGTAATAAACTTGTTGAAAACAGATATTTAGTGCCTAAGGGTTTAATTACAGCAGTCTTAAGTGTTACTTAATATGAGCATACAGAATAAACACCAGTATAAAGGATATGGCATTCCGGTTTGATAACTTATTAAGAAATACTTACCGAGAATGACAATTAGCTTCAGTTTCTAAAGCACTATGCTGGAAATGAGCTGCTTTATACAGTGCAATAAATATGAATAAATGTAAGAATATTGCATACAAAAATACACCCAAGCGGAGTCTACGATCGGAACTAACAAAACGTCCCTATTGGAAAAACAACAACAAAAAAGGAATAACAGAAACATTGTAAAACAAATACTGTTCAAAAAGTGCCTAAAATAAATATACATCACATTAAAAAAAACACATTTATTCATTCGTAGGTTGTATTTATCACAGACTGATCCCAGTTGAAATGCCACAGAAAAATGGATATCGCTGAATAATATTCACTGTGGACCTGAAAGTCATGGTTTCAATCCTTGACAAGTAAGCACTGCTAGAGTCCTTCTACTAGGATAAAACAACTACTATCCAGTGAATTTTTTTCAATGATTGTCTACAAACTAAGATCAGGTCCATAATGTAAACTATGAAACAAAGACAAATAAAACCAACATACCAAATGTAACATCAGTTTCTCATATGGTTGTAACTTTTTATACACTCGTTGTTTCTCATATCGACTAAATTGATTGAAAGGATTTAACTGAGCTTCATAAACATGTGAATATTTAATGATAGTTGCATCATTTGACTCATGATTTTGACAAGATGATGGTGACAATGATGTTGTCACCGATGATGAAGAATGCTGATTAGATAAATTATTTTGTCGATTTTGTATTACAGGACTACCATATGAGTGTAAGAAACGTATTTTCTCGTACAATTTAACGTTATCAGCTCGTACTGATTCAACTTCACGTTGAAGTGATACCAACTGTTGGCGTAAATTTATTTCATTCTGTTAAAGAAATTAATTAGAATAAAATTTGTATTACGTAATTGGAAGATATTCAATGCTTTATTTCAATCTATTGACAACATAGTGAAGTAACTGCATGTTTAGTACACGAATAATATAGTGCCTTAAAGTTGTGCAATTACATCTGTATGGAGGAACCTTTTGTAATTGACCCAAATGAAATAAAAGTAGTTCGAAATTCATTTCTTTATGATATGATGCTTTGGAATAAATGAAAAAATGTTTGAAACGGGCTAGTTTCTAATTTGCCACATAATAATTGATTTCATTGATTGCTAAGATTATGTAACTAGTGGGGCTATGAGTGCCAATAGAAATGTCTTTAGTCTTTTTTTTGTTGTTGTAAGTAGTAGGAAGAATATAAATTAAAAACAAAATTCTAATTGAATATTTATGGCTGAGATTGTTAGTTATGTCCATAACTAACTAATCAAATTGTTGCTTAAATGCTCATCACGTCAATCTGATCTGTGGTGACTGTAGACTATCCCTGTTACATGTAACCTGCCAATTGAACGATATTATTATCCTGTTATCTTAGTGTGACTCAATTTTTATTCACTTCGATAAGACACACACTACTGGTTGGTATAAACACATAAAGTTTAAAGCCAAGTTGTTCTTGTTCTGACTATAGTTTTCACATACGCTGAGATCGCCAGTATGGCGTTTACAATTCCAGTAGAATATCTGTAGGACAAATTAAATCCAACAGAGATTCTTCCGTTACGATTATTTATTATTAAATATAAATTCCACTCTTTTTCTTCTATCTTATGGTCAAAATATCATGCAATTCAGGTTAATTGAAAAGTAAGTTAGATTGAAAATAACAAATTTCAAGTTCATGAAAGAATTCCAATAATGCTATTTCAATTACAAACAACGTAGAATCTGGGAAATATATGCATCGATTCAAGTTACTACATTATATTAGCACTGCCAGATAAAATCATCAAAACAAACGTTAGAGTAGTGGAAGTGGATAGGAAATACATTAAAGAAATCAGCAAACGGTATCACGAGCCAAGCGCTAACTAGGAGTCCTTAAGGTAAACAGAAAAGAGGAAGGCCAAAAAAACACTATGCCGAAAATTGGAAACAGACATCAAAAGGATGAATAGTAACTGGAAAGGATTATCCAGGACAGAGTTGGGTGGAGAATGTTAATAAGCGGCTTATGCTCCTCCATGAGGGATAACAGGCGTAATATATTATCGATTATGTATAGGTGTACACTAGTGAGGAGCCCCGAACTAGGACAAAAGGATTTTTATAGTACTTTTTGACTTTTAATGTTCGATGACACTGACGTCAGTCCTTTTCATATCTTCTACACTATCACTGATACTACAGTGTTATACATCATGAAAATCTCATCGCGATATGGTGACGTAATGCAGAAAATTGTGCCAAGTTCTAACTTGCTTATTGACTGACTGATTGATTAAGTTCATGACATATTAACATTTTCAGATGTTTTACTTAATTTAAAATGTATGTGTGCATTAGGGTAATTAAAAATCAACCAACCAAGAGGATATTAATGAAAAATATCTAACAACAATAGAGAAGAAAAGTATATGAAATTGAATTATTACAAATCTCAATAATGGAAAAATAGGAAAGCATAGTGAAAGAAGAAATTAATACAATGATATACACTAGATAAAGAACATAGGGTTGCTCCGTATGTAACTTTTTCTTGGTTCAAAATGATTAATTTCATTTAGGGTCTGATATGTGGGCGAGAATGATAATGATTGGCTGTCTGCTTAGTCAGACGTGTAGATAGTCTGACAGGTGTCAGATAAGTTATATATTCCCCTATGCTTATAATTATTATCGACTGTTCATTGTTGTTGGATTGTGTCGGGTTTTGGTGTGGAAATATATTTACGTTGTGGTCAGGCTAATCACGTATTCTTGATCTGACTTTTGTTGAAGTCCTGTAGAATAGACACTGGGAGGGAATCTAGTGTAGATATTCGTCTAGGGTAAATTAACCTCCTATTCGAGTAAACGTGGAAACCTAACCGTTATAACCGTTAGACGAAGTAAAACCGAGCGTTATAACAATTGGCGACGGGGTGAGTAACAAAGAACCAAGGATACAAAACCACAAGTTATAACACGGTCAATATTATTACTTAGTAATTTTCAACATCTTCAGGACTCTAGCTACAAAAACGCACTCTTTTTGTATAATTCATTCAAACTTTATATTATGTTTATTATATGATAGTGTACTATAGAATAACTTCTATTGTAAAACAAACTAACATAAAAGAGTAAATCACCTGAGAAAAAAAATTTGACTGTTTTCATTGACTAACCTGTTCTAATTCTTCAGCTCGTGTTCGAAATCGATCACGTTGATTTTGTACAATGTTTAATAATGACTGATTGTCTACAAATGCATGTGTATATTTGCAATTAATTGGGACAATTAAAAAAATCAAACTAACACGGGTTATATATAAATGACAAAGTTTAATAAACGTCAATGACACTTCGAAAGAAACCATAAACACTACTATCGTTAAGATATATGGCCAGATTTTACACGTACATCATATTTTTTGTAAAATCAAATTCAATTAGTCATAAATCGCGCAGAGAGCCTGGTACATTTGTGTACTGACTGGATTTGTTATACCACATTAATACAGTGAATTGAAACGAACATCATAAATAGCAAAGGATTCTAAATTAATGTAGTAGCCATGACAAGCCCCCAAATGCCCTGGTACGGCCGAGAGTGGAGAAAGTCAGTTCGCCCTTTCGAAATGCTCCCACATGGCCACGCGTATATAGTCTCTGTCAGGTAAGTCCTACTCACTGCATTCTCGTGGCATTACTGTTGTTTACGAAAGTGAGAGGACGAAAAGCGAATGTCGGGCGCTTTAACCGGGTTGGTGGACATGGAGAATCCACCTAGGAGAGTTGGAAAACCCTAATTCCAAACCAGTGGTGCACATGGGCTCCAGTATCCTGAATGAACAAATGGCGTATGAACCGACCGTTGGTCACTGGCGACCATGGAATTGCATCTGCTTACGTTGCCCCACTGCCTTGTGGACCATACCTTCAGGTCGAAGGCTCCGGGTGTGGGCCCCTAAGAAAACCAATTGCTTCGGTTTGGGCACCCGGGCGTTATCACAGCCTTTACACAAATCAAATGGGATTCGCGTAGCGCATATATATCTGGTGCCTCCTTGTACCAATATCTATGTGTCCAAATAATAATAAAGCCATGATAATGAGGAGTGAACATTGGGAATTTAGTTCGAAAAGACAATGAAAAGGGACGTATTAAAAAATTTAAGGTAAAGCAAAAAAGAATGATGGATTTGCGTTATTGTGACTGATTCTGAATAACGTCAACCTAATGTTTTTTTTACAAATCCCACTCTTCAGTTTAAATGGACTCGATTTAAGAAGAATAAAGTCTAAAGATGAACATGAGACTATCAGGTTCTAAGTTAGCCATTAATCTTTATATGGAAATTGAAAGTAATAAAACTGACAAACAGTAGTTATTAAGAACAGTTACCGCAAGTACTTTAATTTAACGTTGTAGTCTAATGATTTGTATATTTAACTGTTAGATGGATTAAGGAACCAAGAACTAAATCTCGACGCTCTTTACAATCTACCACATGGAGTCATATATGTAACTGGTAAATTAAGGTGTTTTAAAAAAATCAACAGTTCGAAATGAACTTTGAACATAATCACTTTGATGATTGTTATCTATAAACATTATGAAAATAATAAACGAGAATAAGATGAGTGTAGTTTTTAAAGTCAAATGTAAATAATTTAAACTCCTAGCCAATAATGGAAAACGTTTTAATTTTGTCATTGAGAAAAGAATCATATCAAAAAGTGTGTAGTGAATGATCAAAAAGAAAACGTACATTAACTAATGTACAATAAAAACGCCTAGTTTTAGTTGTACAGTATAATATACCGTCACATTTTTGGTATAGTTAAATGTGTAATGAACTGAGAGCGAGAAAATAATGAAGTAAATGCGCTATTGAAGGAGCAAGACGTTAAGCAAGATATGTTAATAACACTGAAACAATATGCACCATATGTTATAAAGGTCATCAATAAGCAAGTATTTAGACATTTGAATGGCGATGATAATGATATAACAGGACTAAACACTCCAAGACTAAATAAACTAATCGATAAAACCTTATCATCTAACCAAGTTAGCTTTACTATACAAAGCAAATTATTTATTATTGTAATCAAAAATCTCTGATTGTATTAACAATTAAAGAAAAAGCAGTGAATATATTAGATTCTATGGACATATTGATCAGTTTAGTACTGCTGTTATAAGTGTGTGCGAAGTTGTTATTTCACAGTTACCTACATCGTGGAACAACACTTTCGAAACATCCAGAAAGTTCTCTTGGAACGCTAAACTTGTAGCGATCTTAGTGACCCGTGAACGCTAAAACAGTGCTCAAGGAACAACTGTTTAAACTTAATTTCATGTGACCATTTTGTCAGTAGTTCTTGATATATTAGCTCCATATTTTAAAGGCCTTACTACCAGCAACATAAATCCATAGGTAAAGGTGGGGTGTATTATTTTTAAGGTCAGCATTTTCTAAACTCTGCAATTATGGGAAGGCAGCATCGTTGTGAATGTTAGCTGTCTGAGGAAAACACGTCACTTCCACCACACCTCAGTACCACCGGCAGTGTGACTTCGCCTTCAAACCCCAATTTGCTTCCTTCAGTTTAACCATTCTCTAACCGACCTGCTCTGAATGATAGTACCTAAAAGAACAAGTGTTCAAGTCAATATCACTCGACTGTGTTATCGCAATAAGCAATTTTAGCCATTACGTCACGTTAGCAGCTATGTTTGGGAAGAATATTGCAATAAATGAGTGCTTGATAGAACGAAAGATAAATATTTTTAGTACTACCTGCTCCTGACTTGTGGTTAATACACCACAACGTTAGATAAATGATCCAAAATACTTCGCAAAACAATTAAAATGTGAAAAACCACTTAATTATTTTTAAATTTACCGAAGTTAGTAAACCCCTAAAAACATATTTATATGTTTAGAGAGAAACAGTCATTAAATATGTCGGTTCAGATTTGCGCAAAATAAAAACAAATCTCCCATCATCAATCCCTAGATCCTATGAGCAAACTGAAATCCAACTTCACAAAACAATGCTTCAATGGCTGGTACTCCAAGTGACACTAAATTACTCCATAAATATATCAGCTCATTTTCCGACTGTATAAACACTGATAGTAGAACTAAATAAACCCTCTCATGTTTACTCGTGTTCTCAATCGTTGGTATATTAAAGAGAGAATAACTATTTAACTTAAACGCTTAAAAAGATTGATAGCCTTTCACATAGTATGTATGTAATTTGCAATACGTCAGCCAGTTATATGCAACAGAGAATCTGTCAAACATCAGTGCAAGCTGCCATATCATTTCAGCGAAACGAGGTGAGATCACTAACAAATTCCAGAGACATAACAGTATTAACGGACTCACTAGTAGTAAGAAACACCAATAATGAACAATATGATTCGAGAATGAATCCGTGGAACAGAAAAGTATAAGATAAATTTAAAACCTAAGATCTGGAGGGAAACGATTAGTGAATGCATTTATCCCATTGAAACCAATCCTGATTCACATCCCACAACGTCCTTAACCATTAGTTACGATAATCAAAAGGACTCAAACCATGTAATATGCACCTGCCAACATGATTCATACCTACAACCAATGAATTGATGGATTGATGCCAAGTCTTGGTTTGGTCACCAGATTTCTTCCACAGACTCCTAAACCAGTAAATACCATGTGTTGAAGTACGGAACGATTGGCCACACATCTCAACCGTATCACTCGTTAAAGATCTACTACCTCACCAATCGATTAGTAATAAGTAGGTGGGAAACAATAAATTCATTATTATGGCATTTACAAGCTAACTATTCATAAGTGTTATTATAAATAATACAAATGGATAGAAAAAAAGTATTTTTACAATATAGATAAAACAACACGAAATTTTCCAACAACAATATTATTAACTATTGATACTTACACTGACTTGGTTTTTGGTCACCGATAACTTCTGCAAGATGGTGACCTTCCAACCGGTTCCTTGAATCATTTAACTTTAATGATTCATCCAAATTTGTCTGCAAACGATAAAGATCAGATTCTAACAATTTTATTAATTCTGTTTGCTCTTTAATTCGTTGATTGGCTTCAACTTCATTTGATTGGACTTGAGTAAGTTCAACTGTTGCCAAAAAAGCAACAAAAAGAAGAAACATTTACGAAAAGTAACCTTAACGATAATCAGGAAAAATAAAGAGAAATCCCTCAAAGAAAAGTCAAATAAAAAACATATATCAATATACAATAACAGTATAAGTTTTAGTTAAGAAAGTTAAATGAGCAGCACATAGGCTCCAGTATCCTGAATGGACAAATGGCGTATGAACCAATCGTTGGTCACCGGCTACCATGAGACTGCATCTGCTTACGTCGCTCCACTGCCATGTGGATCAGACCTTTAGGTCAAAGGCTCCGAGTGTGACCCACTAAGAAAACCACCTGCTTCTGTTTGGGCACCCGGGCAGTGTCCCAGCCCTCACACAAATCGAATGATTTTTGTGTCTCATAAACATTTGGTGCCTCCTTGTACCAATGTTTATGTGTTTAAATAAGTAAATAAAGAAAAACATTCGAGTTCCCATTCATTTGCCTTAGGGTTAGACAAATCCCAACCATTCGATAATTGACAATCATCAAAGACCCGTACCTAATCTCACGACCAAGTTACAACGGTAACAATGATCACATTATTAAGCCTTGTGCGATGAATATCACTGCTTTAGGGTCGAAAGCTAGAAACTAATGTTGGGTGGTCGAGTGTAGTCGGCAGGAATCCCTGGACTTTATTTTCGTGCTATTTGACACTCGTTTGTCTAGGACTTTGCAATCAAGTATATCTCAATGCTGAAGGAAGTTAATCACAATACAAATCGCTAAGTGATGACAGCTGGGACTTTGAAGTTGGATGACGCGGGCTCGAATCTCACTGAGGCATCAAATGCTCTCAGATTGCAAGTACACCATAGTGACGAGTCCCAACTAATAAGAAACCTAGATTCAATGTCTCTTATCGACTACCTCCAACCACATTACATTAAAACAGTGCACACGATGTCGTCCCAGTTAGACTAGTGGACAAACTGCAACTTGATCGACAGAATCCGATCAGCACAATAGACTAAACAAACATTACATTAGTCACTACTCAGTGACCAATCAGTCAGAACAGATACTTTTTTGTATCCTTTTACAGTGTTTGCATAAGAATACAACTGCAGACATAGAGTATGAAAGAAACTAACCACTTCAATTTTTCTTTTATGCGTAGAGTTATGGCACTAAATATTATAAATAATTGCAAACACATTGCAACTTGGGTTTTTCTACATAACCCGAAGATATCGACATGGTAGTGAATTCAATGAATGAACGCACGTAGTTACCCTTCAGCAGTGTCCTCTCAATATACTTGACTCGGGCTCCCGAAACGAATCTGACCTACTGCTCCAGGGATTGTATATATTTTATGGAAAAGTATAACCCTCTATGTACAATTTCTTCTTTTCAGTAATTACTAATTACATTTAAATAATTATCACACACAACAGATTTTATATTGCAAAAATATCAAAAATTGAGTAAATTCATAAAAGAAAATGCCAGAATATAAAAAGAGTATTATGACCAAATTTTGCACAATTCAATTTAATCTTAAAAGGAACATTTATCAGTGAATTACTTCATAATCTTACGCTTATAGATATACATAATATAAACTCCAATTGTAAATAATTTTTGTCATTTTTCAACTTCTTTTGTGATTTCCTTTAGTTTATACATTGTTTTGGACAGTAGATTGTTGTTTAAATCGACCTTGAATTTCCTCGAACACTATTTGGATGTTACACTGATTATTATACAAACCATTAAACTGCTTCATACATCACTTATCATTCTTACTCATTTTTCGGTCTTATATACCTGTAATATATATTTATGGATTGTAACTTTCAACATTACTTGACCAACTATGTAGCGTTATCTTGGATTATATCACGCTTTTTAGAATAACCGATTATCTATTATAATTTTGAACTTATTTTTGGAACAGTTGACCACACAGCCATTAGCGACTTAGAAACAACTCTAACATAACTTGTATACATGTCTATAGTTTTCGTACCTCAGTAACTCATTTTACACACTTATTTTTGCATGACGTTTCTATTTATTAAGTATTTGTGTTTTTGGTCCGCCACAATTTAAATCTCATTTTATCGGGATGATCTGCCGAACCATTAAAAAAATCCAATCAAAGGATAAAATTTCAATTGAGGTCATTTATCAGGTAAGTTGGAATTCTGAAGAGAAGTCCAGCTACATTCATGTAGTACAGTATATAGATTATTTGTGGAGTGATTTCGGATGATTTTCACAGAAATGTTAGCATTATAGAATTGGATTCCAAAGAGCATCGCGATCTATTTATATGGATACACTATAATAAAATGAAGTACGAAATACGTATCGTAAAACGGTGGCTTCAGGGTTGTACAACCGTCTTGTTTCGGTTAGAACAGCCCAGTAGTAGAAGTGTTACTTCTTACATACAAAGTGTGTTTTAACACTGAATATATAAACCCATAGTTTGTAAATGATTTACATCGATTAACTGATGAAATGAATGCTAAAAAATTAAATCTAACTCTTAAAACACCTACTTTGTAACTTTTCACGTAAGGTGTTTGCTTCGGCCAACTGATTCTCCAATGATTTATTCTTTTTTAAAATAAGTACTTCCAATGGAGCACGATTAGATGTATCGTCTTGAATAAGATTATCCGATTCATTTGGCTGAACATTTTCAGGAAATTCAATTGAGCGTAAAAGAGATAGTTCGCGTTTCACTTCTTCGTAATCAGATTGATTGTCAAGTTTAATATTAGCCACTTCCAGAGAAGCTTTGGTCTGACAAATTGTTGTTTGCAGCTCTTGAATACAATTTTCTAGATTCTTTTCGTTGGATGACTTCAAAGATTTGAGCGATTCCAACTGATCGAGTAATGACGATTTCTAGAACCGAAAACAAAAAAGTAATCTTAGCAACTACTCTAATACACCAAACGGCGTTTACCCAAAAAGCTCAGACGTAGAAAAGGATTTTGTTATATCCTAGTGAAGATTACATTACGAGTAGTGTCTGAAACTTAATAATGGACTCTTATTATTTATATATTCTCATGGTATACATATTCGGCAACTAGATTATGTATATCTATATTTCCCTTGTTATAAGCTTTATTTTGACCTATAATTTATTATTGTACGATTTACGGTTCTTAAGTTATGTTCAGTTTATTAACTACTGCCTCCCACATTCACAGCCACTTTTTGGCTTTATTGTGTACAAATGTTATTTCCTATTTTATGGTGCGTTGTGGTCTGTTTGATTGATATATAAACCCAGTATGTCTGAAATAAATGATTCGATTCGATTCGCATAGTGGAAGCTGGTATTGATGTTCTGGACTCAAGTGGACAGGCTAGGCGGACGTAGGACCAATAAGGAAGCTAGTCTGCCCATAACGGTTGAACGTCATTGGTTTGGCACAGTGCTAAGATTGTATAAGCCGTATTTTGATTGGTGGATAAATCACGTGATAAAAAGCCGGACATAAAGTCATAACAGATTTCAAAAATCCTTTCAAAAAACCAAGCAAAAGAGTGGTTGATGGTAAAGTAAAAGCAGTTATTGGAAGCGAAAGTTATGTGTGTAAAAGTGAAAACATCAGGTTTAAGCTAAGAATCAGTGTATACTAACTGGCCTTTGTTATGAAAGAATCCAAATCCCTCGTTCATGCAGCCCTAAACTTCTAGAAACTCATATTTTAAACGATTAGATATCATATCACATAGAAAGCATTGATACTGATTCGATCATTGACAGTATTTTTACTTAACTTGAATGTTTGGTACATAACAATGTTTACACAGAACTTTAGTACGACAACTACCGCAACCTTGACGTGATGGTCAGAATTGCTTATCGCGATAACACAGTCGAGTGATATTGACTTGAACACTTGTTCTTGTAGGTACTATCATTCAGATCAGGTGACAGTGCCGGTTGCGCTGAGGTGTGGTGGAAGTGACGTGTTTTCCTCAGACAGCTAACATTCACAACGATGCTGCCTTCCCATAATTGCAGAGTTTAGAAAATGCTGACCTTAAAAATAATACACCTTATATATATATAGATTGATATCTAGTATTTTTAAACCTGAAAACAAACCTTATTGGACTTACTTGTTGAGAACAACTGGACAGTTCAAATTCAAGCTCTTCAATGCGACACTGAAGTCGACTAATGTCTGCGATGGGTAACTTTGGGATGTCCGCATGATCCTCACGTAATTTGGCCAGCTCTGCTTCAGCAGAAGCAAGTTTCTGAAGAGTTGCGAAAACAAATATGGATTACTAAATTTTAAACAAAATATAATTTAGTAAATACTCAAACTTCCGGACCATTTAAATTTTTGAACTATTGGGTAAGATCAGATTACATATATATTTACAGATTCTATACTATATAGAACATTAATAGAATTTAACATTTAAAAAAAAAAGAAGTGGTATTAGATTCTATACATTTTAGTGCATGAATTGTCGAGATCACTAGGTAAAACGTTGATAATCAGCCACCGGACTAGAAAAAGATAGGTGGATATATCAAACAACACATTATCCACAGTGCATACATTCTTCTCTAACTGATAGTTGGTAGATGTAGATTTAAAAAGGTGTGAGGATAATGATAGATGATCACACCAAAAACGCTCAAGTTCCTTTGAAAGACTTAGGTAATAAATTGATGCTATTCATTGTATTTTTCTTATTAGCGTTTTTCTAGCGAGTTATTTTTCATTGTATTAACCATAATTTTAGTTACATCTAATGGAGGAAACATAAGAGAAGAAAAATACGTATCTCATATAATTCCAACAAATTTTCACATTACTAGGACTTTCCCCTAGCTAACAATTCTATATGAGCTTTTTTACATTCATTAAGAAAATCCTTGCTGAGACCATGTTTGTGGAATGATGAGAAATCTTTATTTACACTGCTTATACTAAAATACCAAACCACGAGTACATGAAAAAACTGCATAGCGGAATACGTAAAATTGATTTCAGTGAAACAAGTGCAGTTTTTGTATCTTATATTAGCATAGATTTAGATTATTTACCACAAAACAAATCCACCGATGACTGGAATCGCTGGTAAGAAGTAAACTGTGGTCGATTGCGCTTAAAAATTTTCCCATAACTTGCTACGCTAGGTTCACCCCTAAAATGACAACACTTACAAATAAGACTATTTAGAAACGAAGCTATTTACTACGAGATAATTGTTTCCTAATATCAAAAATTCCCACTGAAATCAATACGAATGTTAACAAAAGACAATTTGAATACAAGATAAGGACTACTACTTACTGCATTTGATTTTTCAAGATCATCCATAAGTAACTCAAGTTCGGAAGACCTATCAGAGAATTAGTGTTCGAACATAAAGTATTAAATTAACCTGCCGGTTTCGGTAGCGTTCGCTTCTGTTTTAAGCCTAAATAATTCAGATTGTGCCATTTCCAGTGCTAAAATTTAAAGAATAATATTTTAACATGCGAGAGTTGTGCCAAAATAGCTCATCATAATTTGTGGACAATATTTGAGTCGATGAGAAATTATTTCTCCCGATAGCTTAGCGGCTAGTGGATACAATGTCAGTACCGTACAGTTGCACAGCTGTTTTTAAGTGAGTGCAATATGCATGTACTGAAATGTAATTTTATGGATTATATCTATGACAAACCTAACTAAAACTGAGGAAGGTGGGAATAGCTTACGAGTATTGTAGGAGGCAACCTATACCGATAACTATTCACCATAAGCTTTCAAACGACTAACAGAAGTAAAGTAAAGACTGTCTACACAGTTAATGTAATTCTGTCTGGCGCCCAAATTATTGATCCGACTTGCAAAATTACGGATGATGAAGCATGGGGTAAGGCGTGTACAGTAGCAGCTTTGTGATAACTGCATTAAAACTGAGTTATGTCACAAGTATCGAGCTAATTAGATCGATAGTATCCAATATCAACATACCTTTGGAAATCGCTATATTTTTAGATTCAAAGCTACCCAGCTTCTCCTCTGCTTCAACTTTAAAGATGGCAAACTCTTGCTCTTTGAAATCCAACTTCCTTTGATATTCATCAACTATCTTCGAACTGTTCAGCTGGATTTGAGTTTCCAAAGAAACCGTCAACTCGTCAAGACGTTTCTGCAAGCGTTTATTTTCGCGTTCTAAAATAAACTCTTAACTCAGGAAATACCGTAATTTTTGAGCTCCTGAACTTTTATTTTTAATTCGTCACAGCTTTCCTTGAATTTTCGTGATTCGAACTCAAATTCTATAGCTTTCTCAGCTCGTTTTTGTAAGGATTGAAGTTCTCCAAGTGCGAATAAGGGATCTATAAGGCATATCATCTCAGTGGAGTTCCAAACCTGGGAGATCAATAAGTTGTTTGTACATTGAAAGGTAAGCTTCTTCAGCATATCTACACCTCTTCTGAAGTGCATCGAATTCCGATTGATAACACTTGATAACTGTCGAACAATATTTACGTACATCCTAAACTTGAAGTAAGCATAACATTTTCCGTACCTCGGAGGCAGATTTTCGGAACTCTTTAGTCTGATTTACTAAATTAGTCCTTGAAATATCGTTTTTCTCATGATTGGAGGTCAGTTCACATGCTACTGACTCCAAGGTTTTCTAAAATCTAACTAATACAAATGCCACGAAGTACTTGTAAGTCACCAAATGCAACATCGCGCCAGGAATTATAAACTGAGGCTACGACACTTTCCATAACAGTAACGCACACTTCAGAAAGTTCGGTTTCCAAATTCAGTTTTCAGTAATAGAGTTAACAGGTCAATGGACCTATGTTAATCCTTACAGCTTATTTTCCAGCGAACTTTTAGCTTTTTAAAAAAAGTTCACTGATGGAGCCGACATCACTTGTTCTCGTAATGTGTTTCAGTTACTGACTACTCGATGGGAAAAAGATTTTTCAGAATTGTGTAGTAAGTTCTGAATGCCTATGGCCTGCGTTAGTCTTTTTCCAGTAGGCTTCTGTGAGTGTCTAATCTCCTTTTAACAGATTCAGTTGAAGGTGAGGACACCACTGCTTCGAAAAACAGATTCCAAGAATTGATTCTATGTGAAAACCTGTCCATATTTTATTCGTTCTTGGCTTTTCTACTCATCTTCTATATCCTCTAAATCATCCCGATCTGGTAGAAAGAAAAATAGACGATATGTCAGATTTAAAATTACTTCTTTGTATCCTGTACGTCATAATCAAATCACCTCTTAATCTGAGGTAGGACAGTGTAAACAGGTCCATCTTCTCAAGACGCTCTCCGGATAGTAAACCTCAGAGTTCTGGAATCGCACTGGTAGCCGCCCTTTGTACCTTTTCAAGGATATCCGAGCCACCTTTTACACAGTATCTTGCGGCCTGAACCCGGTTCTCAAGTTGGAATCTCACTAATGTTGTATATAGTGTGGTGAACATAGTATTTAAATTGATAAATGTCCGACGTAAAGCTCGTAGAGTTATTAGCATCATACTTGCGACCTCATGGCAGTGTGTCGTGTCCTTACGATCATGGCCCACTCTCGCTACAAGATCTTCGTGAGGCCGGATTATTTGCATCGTCTCTCCCCCTACGCTGTACCTATTAGGCGCTGTACATCCAGTTTGCAAGTAGATAATGATAGGTACCAACCATTTTTAGACTGGCTAATCAGAACATTGAAGTCTTCATGAAATGCACGTGTATCAGCTTCAGCTTGACAAAGATTATAAAATTCCTGGACTTTCTAGCTTTAAAAGGGGTCTATCATTCGGCGCCCTATCAAATGCTTTGCTGATCTGTGTGGTCAACATCCACTGATTTTCCATTATCTAGAGGCTCTATCTATTCCCATCTCACCATAAGGTAATTTGTTGTGCAAGATAAACCTTTTCTGAAATGGTTTTTTCACTTTTTTACAAGTTGGTTCCCACGAATGTCATTATTGTCTTTTTGATTATTCTTTCTGCCATTTTCGCTACCATACTGGTGAGGCTGACAGCTGTGTTGTTTGATGGACGTTTTCATGATCCTGCTTTATGTAGTGGAGTGACAATGGCAACCTTTCAGTTGGTCGGTAACTCACCTTGGCCGAGTGGCGTGTTGTATATAGTAGTTGATAAGGTAGCAATGTATTGTGCAATTTGTCTGAGTGCTTTAGGGTGTATTTAGTCTGTCTCGGTTGCTTTTCCGTGTCTTATGTGCTAAGATCCTTAACTACATCATCTCAATCGAAGTTCACAGTGAACAGATGATTTTTTGACCTTGTTCTTAGTCCAGTACTTCGTCTTGAAGAGGCTCCTTAGTGTAAATTGTCCCGAAATAGTTTGCCATAAACTCTGTTTTGTTTTGATCACCCTCTGTGATTTCATATCTATTCTCTCCTATGGTTGGGTTACGAATTCAATGCTGCGTCCTTGTTTTGTAATTTATGTACGATGATAGTCCCTAGGGTTGTTTGCCTACTGATTTAGACAACTACCTTCCGTATTTTCTTTAAGCTCTCCGGACTGTATTTATGTACTTATTTCGTTCCGAGCTGTAGCGTTCCATCGTACTTGCTGTGCCAAGGCTGATTTTGGTTTTGCTAGCATTTCACTTTATTATTAGAAAATGTCGAATATCCCTCCTTATGTGGGGATGGTCGTACTTCTTTTTGGGACTGTTCAGGGTATAAATGGTTGAGTAACTTGGCTCTAAAACTGGCGGAAATGGGTTCATGCCTCTTCTACCGATACCCTTGAGTGAATTATCCAGTTTTCAACTGACGCTGAGGAATCGATCGCCTTTATGTTTCCTCCATCATGTTAGGATGGGCCAACGCAACTGCCTGAGAGGCTATCTCAGCTATGAACTTGAGTAAGGTGACCACATGATCACTTCAAACTGGGAATAAAGTTAGTTAACTGACATAAACACCGTGAGTGTAAACTAAGTCTGAACGAGATGAATGTTATAGGTCATATCTGGCGGTATCTGTGATTACTGGTATAAAGCCAGTGTGACTGAGGTTTCTAACTGTTTATAATCAGACGATGTTGTTGATGTCCGTATTCCAAAGTCACCTATCAAGATTTATTATTTATTTATGAGGGAGTTATATGCTATACATTTTGGACTGTAGCACACTGCGACTAAGTTAATATGTTGCCCTTTATAATTTAGCCGGCGGTAGACCAGTTCACATGTCCCTGAGTCGTTTGCCACTGTCCCAACAGCTTGTAGGGTTAAAATACTTTCCGCGCACAGGACAACCCCGCCACCCCTACGGTCAACTTAGTCAGCCGTAAAAAGTAAGAAGCCAAGCGACTGAACATTAATATCATACACTTCTGACGTTAAACATGTCTCTGAAGTGGCAATAGCATCAAGATTTTCTGTGCTCACCACGTTCCTGAGCTCCATCAAATTGCCAAGTGGCTGTGAGCATTTGTGTAGTTTACCTTTAATTCCGTGGAGAGCTTTCCCATACCACTCACAGTGGTTTGAGGATCGTTTAGCCCCGTAATTTTATAATGCGGAAACTCATAAGTATAAAGCATTTTTAACCGTTCTTGTGGCGCTCATCTATTTTTACCTCTGCTGATCGTCTCTTGTTACGGCTGAGATCAACACCGATAAATATTCCAGATCCAATTAGTTTGTCTGAATTTTATTTCTTCAACAAAAGCGAAAGTATTTGTTAAGTGGTGGTTTTCTTTAGTATTTTCAGAATCTTCTTTCTATAATATCCTATAAGGCTTATGAACGGCAGCGCTCCAGGGGTATCGCGACACTTTTGGCGCTACTTTTTCATTTCTGCTTTTCGCACAGCCAAAATTCGAAATTAATTATAAATAAGTTTGAAATTTTATTTTCCGTTTTTACATTTATGTGAAAAGAGGTTTTCTCATTTCGCGGTACATGGCATCGCGAAGTCCTGGAAAATTCATTAGTCAGGTGCTGCTACAACAGTTTTTTCGTATTCGCATCGCAGATTAGCGATTATTTCTACCTAGGTATACACTGATGGTAGACAAATCATTTATTTTTATATGAAATAGCATGATACAAGCATATGTCGTCACAAAAATTGTAGTGTCGTCAAGGCTACCAAAACTGCGTTACAAGAAACGATAACATGGTAAGATTTATCGTTTTTCCTTTATCACAATTTTGGCTGATTTTCACTGTTTTGTCCGACTTTTATGGCAAAAATAGGTTGATAGTGATAACATTAGGTGTCCTGAGTGTTGTAAATATGATGTATATGCTATAGATGATAATAACACATACCAAAATGTTAATAGCACCTTCTACAGTTAGATATATTAGCCACCAAATGATTATATTGCAGGAAATAAATCATAATCATGCGGAAGAGGTGTAATTATGTGAAGATTTTGCCAGAGATCGAGCTAAGATAGCCTTACTACCTCTTGTGCAGAGTTACAATGTTTTGGCTGCCGGTATTCTTGCAAAAATACCTAATAGTACAATTCGATAATCAAGATATCTTGATGTCAGGTGGCTAGACTGTGTGATCTTCGAAAACCAACCAAGGCTGTCTAGGTTACGTGCTGATGCCGTAAATGACAATTACTCATACCTTATGTCGGACTAAAATAAAATAGGCATCAATAATTGCAGGTTACATAGGAAGATTCAAAGTAAGTTCACACAGTAGTCTTTACATATGTTCATTGTCTAAGTTTCCGAAGTGCGACCTGTCCAAAGAATTAAATAATACAATCCATGTATGTTGCGATCCAGACTTTCCTAAGCAACGTAAGAGATAAAGGAAATAAGCGTGATTGACTATCCAGAGAAAGGGTGTGCTAAATGCAACTTCGATCTGTAATTGAATACTGGTTTGTATTTTCATACTAGTTCCTGGTAAACATTTATGCTGCAATAACTATTTCCTGTCTATCTTATTTCCAGATGGCTTCGCAAGTGTTCACAGACCTAACTGTGACAATTCCGAAGAAATAGAAGTTATTTATTAATGGATCATTTGTGCTAGATTTAAACTTTAATAAAGGTTTTCATTTATAACGCATCAGTCTTTTAATTACGGCAATTCGTATCTATCGTGACAGGTCGAAATTCGAACTACTAGTATGGAACACCATGTTCAAGGTTGCAGTATTTGGTGAACGGTCTATATGACTAATCGCGTGTGTGCCAAACTGGTAATTATTACACAATAACGCAAACAACATCCCTGCCTCACAGCCACATAAGACTGCACAGTACACTCTCCCTGCTGTTACGCTATAAGAATAAGTTAATGGCCATATAAATGAATTTATGTAAAACTAAAAAGATTACAATATTAGAACTTCTTGTTACAAGAAGCATAGCTATGGTCTGTATTAACAATGGATTCTGACGTTGTAGCTTCATCATTAGCACCGATTGAACTCATCACTTGTGTGTATATGTCTTCCGATGCTTCGAGGCATGAGCGGATGAGTTAACTGGCCAAATGTTCACTAAGAGCATGGATTGAGTGGTAGTTGTTAGTGAACTTCTCTAGCAGATCACCGCTTTCTGTAGAGATTGACATGTTGTCCAGAGCACGAAGAACCAAGTCCATTATGTATTTTCTTGTACACCAGTTGCTATGTCGAAATAAGTCTATAAAGCTTATAGAGACAAAGGAACACACACTTACCTCCACGAATTAGATCTTTAGAATGTGCATACAGAATATGACCACAGTGTAGCATTTAGTCATTGAAAC